GGGGGAGGGCTGGGGGGCATGGGGTGGGTGGCTGGAGCCGTGCCAGGTGCAGGGTCTGCTGGCTGGGTGCTGTCAGGCTTCCACCTGGCACGGGCACCGTAGCCAGCCCGTGCCCCTTTAAGGGGTCCAGGGCCGGGAGGGGGGCATACGAGTTTCCCTGGTGTTGGCCAGAGTGGCCACCAGGGAAACCTGGGGAGGGCTAGCCTCCCACTAGTTCGAATTAAGGGGCTACACAGCCCTTAATTCGAACTTGCTAGTTCGAACTAGGCTTAATCCTCGTAAAATGAGGATTACCTAGTTCGAACTAAGCGCTCCGCTAGTTCGAATTAAGTTTGAACTAGCGGAGCGCTAGTGTAGTGCCTATGAAAGTTAGTTTGAACTAACGTCCGTTAGTTCGAACTAACTCTGTAGTGTAGACATACCCTCACATACAGTGCAACTCCACCTCCTTTTCTCCCCTGCCTGTTCTTCCTGAATAGTCTATACCCTTCCATGACAGCACTCCAGTCATGCGAGTCATCCTACCACGTCTCTGTTATCCCAATCAAATTGTAGGTCTTGGACTAGGCCAGGGCCTCCTCTTCTTCCTGTTTGTTATCCAGGCTTCTCGCATTGGTGTACAAACAACTTAGATAACTAGTGTTCCTCTTTGCATGTCTTCCTGGTATGCTACTTCCCTACTCCTCTCAGGGTTTTGATCACCGTCCTCCAACGAACCTAGTTTAAAGCTGTCCTCACTAGGTTTGCAAGCCTGCCCGCGAAGATGCTCCTTCCTCTTTTTGTTAGGTAGATCCCATCTCTTCCTAACATTCCTTGTGCCCAGAACAGAGTCCAATGGTCGAAGAAACCAAAGCCCTCTCTCCGACACCACCTGCACAACCCCACATTTACTTCCTCAATTCAACAATCCCTACCCAGTCCTATCCCTTCAATAGGGAGGATGGATGAGAACATCACTCATGCTCCGAATTCTTTGATCCTTCTTCCCAACTTTACGTAATCCAGAGTAACCCGCTCAACGTCATTCTTGGCTGTATCATTAGTTCCCACATAGAGAAGCAGGAAGGGGTAGTCCTTCAACAGGGAGGACCTGCATGCAAGACACTAGTGAGAGGGAAACCTCCAGAGCTCAAGCCTGCTAATCTTGCATATCTCTTTTTTTCCAGGTGCAACCTATTTTTTCAGAGGCAAAGAGTACTGGAAAGTGTTAGACAGTGACCTAGAAGTAGAACCTGGATACCCCCAGTCCATCGCCAGAGACTGGCTGGGGGGCCGCTCGGCCGGGAGCAACCAGACAGGGGCACGTGCCAAGCAAGGGCGGCAGGACGAGAGCCGTTCAGAAAATGGCTATGAGGTCTGCTCATGCACCTCCTCCTCAGATTCCGTCTCAGCCTGGCCAGCACTCAGACTCTTAGCAAGCCTTGTGCTAACAGGCATGTGGACAGCAGCAGTGGTTTGTGTAGCACTATGACATCCTGGAACATGGACGAGGAGACATTACAGTGCTTCAGGGACTGGTAGTGGATAACATCATAGCGTGCTACACTGTTACAGCCAAAACAAATGGGAATGTGGCAGTGAAGGTTTTGAGTTCTCTGTGAGAAATGAACTGGATTTATTTTCATGTTTTAGTTAAAGGTCTAATAAGGGATTGTGAGTTCTGTACCTTCTTGTTCCCTCCTCCCCAATTACCACCACCAGCTAAAGAATAAAGAGATTGCTGAACGAGAGTTCCAAAAGTTCCACAGAGATGTGACACAGTGGATGTTTAAGAACTGTCAAGCAAAGAGGACAGGGGACACATTGAAATGCAACTCTGGTAGAATGAAAATAGACAAGATAGCAGTGAAGCTCAGTTGTTATTCCTGGAGCAAAAGTAACCCCAGGATAAGGCTATGGGAAAGATGCAACAATTGGGCTTGATCACAAAGCGGTTCATTTCACAAACACATATATGCTGCCACTGGATGTCAAGCTAACCCATGCGAGTTTCTGTAGATCAGTGTCTGTAGATCCTTTATAAAGGACGTGAAGGTCACCTTTGATTCCAGATGTTTAAATGTAAGGGCTTCATTGTTAAACCTTGGCCACACAAACACAGATGGTCAACAACAGGAATCTGTCCTCCAAATCTTCAGCATACACCTCAACAGCTTGAGCTGGAATCGCTCTTTCAGCTCTGAGCAAGTTGAAAGCTGTTATATGCATTGAGTCTAGCTGGTCAACTGAGCTGCAGTTACATACATGAAGCCAGTGTAATTCACATAAATCTAACTATTCTGCTCTCTGAAATTCTATCCTAGATTTATTTCATGATTGATTGCTGTGTACAAAAAACCTTTCATTGAAGTCTTGTCTTTGAAGGATTTGTGGGGGATTAAACTTCTAATATGCACATGTTTTCAAATCGCAGATCCTGTTTTTTTAAGTGGCTTTTTATACCAGTCAGATTCTGTTATGGTCCTATCAGATGTGAATCAGTTATTCTATATACCAGTTTTATTGCTGTTTAATTTGGCGAATGAGGGGATTATTTGTTTGAAAGTGGAGATCTTGATTTGTAAAACTGACACCTCAAAATTCCATGTTTGTCTCTCCTTCACTTACAGATTGTTTGCTCATTTCAGGTAAAAAGGTGGGTTTTTTAACTGCCCCCAAACTCTGTGTGGGACCAGAGTCAAACTTGGTTCTGTCTGGTTCCTGGATCAATACCTGCCCCCTCGCTCTGACTCAGTTGAGATACATTGCACCAGTGGGGCTCCTACAGTTGGTTCAAATGGTTTACATTTCAGAATTTCCATCAAAAAAGTAATTTGAATTTTGATCCAAAACAGAGCAAAATCAATTAAATGTTCACACAAATCACCCTTTCCCCTCCCCCCGCACATGCACCACACTTTAGACAAGCTATAAAGCTAGCTGCAATTTCTAATATATTGAAGTTTGATTAAATTTATGAACACTTGGAGACTCAATGAAATTTTAAACTGGAAAATAATGGTGAAAAATGTTCCCAGTTTTTTTCCTTCTGTTTTTCTACCTGTTCTAGTTGTTCACACAAATCACCCTTTCCCCTCCCCCCGCACATGCACCACACTTTAGACAAGCTATAAAGCTAGCTGCAATTTCTAATATATTGAAGTTTGATTAAATTTATGAACACTTGGAGACTCAATGAAATTTTAAACTGGAAAATAATGGTGAAAAATGTTCCCAGTTTTTTTCCTTCTGTTTTTCTACCTGTTCTAGTTGAACTTCAATTGCACTTTGGGATCATGGTTCTCCTTTGAGTGAGTGAGTACTTTATACGTTGCAGTGATAGCAGGTGCACCCAGTATATATGAGTTGGAATGCACGTGCACACCTGCCATTAGTGATATATATATGGGCA